CCCCTAGAAGTCCAAATTTGATTGACTGCAATGGATGAATGTTTTCAAAAGTTTGACATTTGACAACATTTGTGAGACTTGGTCTGAAGATCATCACTGCCCACTTTGGTAAAAAATTTGTCTGAGGATTAGCAAAAATGCACGTTTACATAAAATCCAATATGGCAGAAATTGACATAATAAGGTTCACTGAACCCGGCTTGATCCAAGGAATCCAGTGGTATCTCCTTTTTGAAAATACGGTTCAAAAGTTACATGGGTGAGCACGCCTGCCGCCTGCCACCTGTTGGTGGTGCTAAAGGGCTTGAGGCACAGACATGAAACTTGGTGGAAGGCATGAGGGGAGTGTCCTAGTGTGCCAAATTTAAAAAGTTTTTACCATACAGTTCTAGGGGCTACCATAAACTGCCATAGACCTTGGCATAAGACCAAAAATTAGATGAAGAAGAAAAGATAGAAACACACCTGGTGCCTATGCACAAAATCAAGGGCCTTAAAACCTCAACTTTTTGTTGAAAAAAAGTTATGTGTTGGGGCACCATGGTGGCTCACCTGGTAGAGTGCATAATATTTAGGCTCAGTCTTTACCGCAGCGCCCTGGGTTCAATTCTAACTCAGGCCTTTTGCTGCATGTCATTCCCTTGCTCTTCCCTAACTTTACTGTCTCTCTCTCACTGTCTCTATTGCAATAAAGCCAAAAATAGAGAAATAAAAAAGTCTTGGACCTTCAGCCACCCCTTCGAAGGATGTGGCCCCTTATTTGGGACACAGCTAGTGTGTCCGCACTGAGATTTGTGAACGTATTACAAAGAATAATTTCATGCAGAAACCGTTGTCAGCTTTACAGCTTGCTTTTGTCTGCCAATTCTTAAAACTTACTTTTGCATATTTCAGCAGTCTCCTGATTTGCCATACATAACCTCTCATCACCTGTGACCAAAATTGCCAAAATATCACTGATATTTGTGTGTCAGCCATTTTGTGATATCTTGCAGCTTATTATTGTACCTGCCCATTATCGACATCCATAACTGCAATTTTCAGTTTTCTCAAACATCCAAAGGGAATCTGAAAAGTTAAACAATAGCAGATAGAGGGGAAGTGAAGGGAAAGAAAATGAGTACAAGCTTCATGTTCTTTTTATTTCTTAAAGATGATGAAAAGTTGTGCATGTTGGGCTTAATAATAACTCAAGGTATGGGTTGGTGATTTTGAATATGATGCAAGGTGTAACCGGTAGGTTAGGTCCTCCCCGCCACTGGGGGTTGCTGTGTAATCACTGCAGCATCCCAGCTCCTTCCAGTCCTACACCTGCAGCAAGTTCCCCAATTAGCAGCACATAAATACTGGTGGTAGCACTAACCATTCAGATCTTTTTGCTGCTGTTCCTGGTTTGGTGCCATTACACTTGCTGGAACCAACAAATGCTGTCTGTGCCCCCATGGTTGCCACATCATATGCATTGATTGGGTATCATACAGCCAAGGTGATTGCCACTGCTGCTTTGTACTTGTTGAAACTCACTTGAATTTTTAATTTATTTTATTGAGTTTTAAGCACTGGGTTTTCTTCAGTGATTTTAGTCTATTTATGTTTTTCATATATCTGTAATTTGTTTATATTTTGGTCTAGTGGTGGGGGTTATTTTATATATTTCGTGATTGTTTTAAAATAATTTGATTCATACAGAAGTGGTTTAGCGCTAACCTTTAAAGGGTGGCCTTGTGATTTTATTTATTTATTTGCTTGTGTGCTTTTATATTTTATGATTTGTTTGTTGTGCAGTAGTCTAACGCCAACCTAGTAGTGCAACCCCTTTTGTATGTTTCCGTTTTAGTCCAGCTCTCCACCTCCCTATTGATTTTTTTATAGTTCTTTTCTCAGTTCAGTTTTTGAACTATTCTAAAATCACTGAAGTCTATATATTGACCAATCTTCAGTTTGATGTTATTTTATTGTCACTGTATTGTGTTAAACATTGCATCGCTGAAGGAAATTAAATGTAAAAAAAACTTTCTATCTCAAAACTAAGTCTCTGTTAAATCTTTTGTGAAACTTACTTGTGTGGTCAAAGTAGAGTTCAATAATACTGTGTATTCCCTGGGTGGAACTCCCAGGGTGGCGTTGTCGGGTTTGTGTTTAATTTAGCTCGAGTTTTAGCCAAGACCTGATCAGGTTACAAAGGTAACCAGTGGTTAGTGTGCAGGTTTTACCATAATCTAATACCACCTTTAGCTGTGTTACCAAAACTGATGACAAATGTCAGCCACTAAAATATCATCCCATTCAGAACAAATATTTATGAAGAATTGTTTGACAACTGTGTAACTGAGAGACTTTATGTTAGCACTTGTAAAATATAGTTCTGATAAGGGTCACAAAAGCACAAGGCCTGCAGTCAACACCCAGATTTCCCCTGGCAGTCATATTGAAAAATATTTGTGCTGACAATGTTTCTCTCAAGTTCAGATAGTTAAACTACACAATGATGCAACACAACGGAAAAGGTTACATGTTTACACAAAAACAACACTGACACTGACAGAACAAGATAGATAAGTCCCCATCTGTTGTGCACATGACTTTATTACCCAGTGGCTTGACTCCAGTGGGAAAACTGGCACAGGGCCCCTTAAGGCAGACACAACAGATTGTTTCAACAGGAACAACAGGTGGCATGTTGCTTCAAGCTGAAAAAAACAGGGTCTTTACTAATCAACACCTTTGTCACAACATGTAAATGTTAAATTTAAATCAATTAAGGGTTTGTTTTGATCTCTCTCTACCTTCCTCGTTATTTTTTTTCTTAGCTCTAACCCCAGGTCGACTGTACCATGCCGCTGATTGCCTTATTAGCAATCTAAACTAATGTTGTAACTTCAAATGTTTGACAAAGTATAATTAAAAACAGGGTGAAAATTCATTAAAATGTAAGCACTATTATATAATATGATAGCTATTGTTTCTGATTATTCTTCAGTTGGACAGCCAGCTCCTGTCCGGTGTTCTTCAGTGTGTGTGTTAGTATCCAGTTGCTGTCCATAAAGACTTAGTTCCAAACATTACGCAATATTATAAAGTGCAAATCAAATAATTTCATAGCCCCAACAAATGCATCACACCATGTATCCTGTTTTTTCTGATTGCTCAGATACAGTGTGCCAGGCCTACATGACACCACATAAGGAACACTCGGCCATTTTTTGTTTTGGATTCAATTTAGATTTTTCATTGATCACAAACAAGAAATAACTAAACTACTGAGTGTTATACTTTTTTTTGCTTTCAACCTTTATTAATTCAGGGTAGTTTCAGTCAGAGACAACTTCTCTTTTCATGATAAAATTACAATTACGACATACACATTACAAACACTCAGAAATGGAAGCAGCCCAGTACAACCACAGTCTGATCTGCTTGCCATGGACATTAGTCTTGCTCAAGGGCACCACATTGATGGAGGGTTAAATCTGTGTGGCACTTTTTCCACCCTGATTTAATCCTACTTGTCACAAGTTTGCTTCTCTACCCTTCAGGCCATCACTGCCCTCATCTTGACATACTTCTGAAACTCTCATGAAGACCATACCCACAAAACTTTTGAAAATGTTGAAATAATGTTTGATATGCATCTAGATCTGGGTTGACTTCAGAACACAAACATTGATATAATCACGGTGGACAGTAGATGTGTTCCATGTATGATTTTGTTTTTCATTCAAATGATTTCAATTTTTCCATGAGAAACTAATAAAAAAATACAATATAAAGAAATCATGACCTAACTTTCTTTGAAATTGAAATATCCTGCTGAGGTATTGTAACAACCAATAGAAAACATGACCTCCTGTCACAGAGGGAAAAATGGATTTCAGCTGTAGTTACTGATAACAAATATTGTTCAACTCACTGCATCCCATATATTTTAATTGACAAATATGTGGGATCCCTTGTTAGGGACCAAGCAGTGAGGCAAAAAGAACACAGGAATTGCTGTTGAAAAACCAGGAGTTGTATTTACCCGAACATTACAAAACAAGAGTATAATAATTAGGCCTATAAAAAAGGTCAACAAAACATAACTATACTCAAGGTAACCACTAAACAACATGTTAACTGAACAAACTGACCCAACACAATGAGACATGAGGGAACATGTATAGTGGCTTGGCCAAACCAAAATGGACTCCAACTATAACTTAACACTAAGCAAAGCTAACTTAACCCAAAATCCCCCCATGATGTTTGGGTGTGGTTGACTGCAAATAAAAATAACCTGTATTAATAACTAATAGAGGTGAATAAGGATTTAAATGATATTACCTTGTGTGGTTGTTCCCTTGTGTGACTGTGGCCATCACATTCCCATAAAAATATAAAAAAGAAAAAATGTAAACATTAAAACATATCTGTTTGAGTTTTGAATACAAAACTAATACCTTAGATAGTCTAAAGTAACAACAAAGAAATAAGACACATAAAAAGAAATATATTCTGTGAGTATGCCCACTGTATTCGATAACTGTACACGCCACACCTCTTTTTCTTTTTCCGTGGGGTAATTAAACTCCCTAAAACAGCAGGTCCATGGATGTGAGTGTGGACATGAACTAGATTAAACATGCATATGCAGGGTATAAAGAGTGCAATGGGTGACAGAGTTCACAAGGCCAGCCTGCAGAGCGTAGCAATGCCATTGCTGAAGCTGGTCCTCCTGCTTCTTCTGATCAGGAGGGTGACTCCTGTGTGCCGGCTGCAGGGAACGGCACAACAACCTGAGCTGAGCAAGGCTGGAGACTTCATCTTAGGTGGCATTTTCACCTTTCGCACAGGGTACAGAGGCAGGGTGCCCACGTTTCAATCATTACCCAATCCTCCAACATGCCTGCAGTAAGTATGTGATTATTTGGTTTTACTTTGATTTTGTTCTATTATGTACTTTTTTTTTATAATTTGTGCAAATTAATTAATTTCGTATGCTTTTTTTTTCTAGCATCAATGTAAGAGAATTCAAATTTGCACAGACCATGATCTTTGCAATTGAGGAAATAAATCAAAATCCTGCAATTCTCACAAACCACAAGCTTGGCTACAAGATATACAATTCCTGTGGAATGACAAACATTATGAAATCTGCTATAGATTTAGCCACTGGGCAGAGGGAGATCGTAGACGAGAAGAACTGTACAAAGGCTGATACTGCCCAAGCTGTACTAGGCCACTCTGGCTCCGCACCCACGATGGCATTTGCTCGGATTATAGGAAGATTTCAGATACCAGTGGTGAGTATTTTACTTTTGTTCCACGTTTACATAAGTAGTCCACATAAGTATTTTTCTATTTGACTTCAAAGAGATTCTCTATTAACTTGTCTAATAATATAGTAATAATTACTTAATTTGGGCTATTTCTTGACGATTAATGTGTAATAAACAAATATCTGTTTTGTTAAACTTCTTTGCCACAGCTCAGCCACTTTGCAACCTGTGCATGCCTGAGTGACAGAGAGGAGTTTCCATCCTTCTTCCGAACCATTCCCAGTGATCTCCACCAGAGCAGAGCCTTGGCCAAGCTGGTCAAGCTCTTTGGCTGGACCTGGGTTGGGGCAATAAGTAATAAAAATGACTATGGCATCAATGGGATCGCCACGTTTATACAAGCTGCACTGGACGAGGGAGTGTGCATTGAGTATTACCAGGCATTTGAGCAAACAGGTCCTCTTCGTGAGTTAACAAAAGTAGTTGAAACTGTGAAGTACTCCACTTCTAAAGTCATTGTGGCCTTCATGTCCCACAGAGAGGTTAATGTTCTGGCGACTGAGTTGTACAGACAGAACGTTACAGGACTGCAGTGGGTCGGCAGTGATGCCTGGATCACAGATCACTCTCTGACTGACAGCGAGGGACACAGGATCCTGGTGGGCTCCCTGGGCTTCGCTGTCAGCCGAGCTCACATCCCAGGGCTGGAGGAGCACCTGAGGCTGCTCCACCCCTCGCAGTTCCCTGACAGTCCGTTTGTCAGAGATTTCTGGGAGGACACATTCGACTGCTCTCTGAGTGACACCAGGGACGCACAAAGAAAGTCATGCAGCGGCTTTGAGAGCTTACAGGATGCAAAATCGTATTTTACAGATGTTTCAGAGCTGAGATTCACAAACAATGTGTACAAGTCAGTTTATGCAGTGGCTCATGCTCTCCACAATCTGGTCACGTGTGAAGAGAAGAAGGGCCCTTTTTATAATGGGAGCTGTGCTGATACCAAACACATTCAACCATGGCAGGTGAGATATTTAAAGAAAAAAAGGGGGTTTATGTCCCATAAAACTCAGTTGTAAATTTAAACTGCACAAGATTACAAAGAAAAAAGGCGATCTGCTTTCCTCTCTCCTCTTCTCTATAGGTGCTACATTATTTACAGAATGTCAACTTCGCAACAAATCAGGGGGAGAGAGTGACTTTTGATCAGAATGGAGATTCACCTGCAAGATATGAACTCATAAATTTACAACATGTAACTTCAGGGACAATGCAAGTTGCCACAGTCGGTGTCTTTGATGCCACTCTGCCCCGTGAGCGTCAATTTATAATGAATGGCATGAAAATAGTTTGGGGTGGAGAAGGCCATACGGTACATGTTCACATTGCTTTGTTCTCACATTTTTGGGTTGTCAGTCACAATGCCATACTGCATAATATTTCATAATCTACTGGAATAAAATGTGAGGGAAAAATAATTTCTGTTTATGACTCTAAATGAAATTTAATTGACATATGAACACCAGTAAAATGAAAAACTGTACACACTGTAGGTCACATACAACTCCTTCACATATTCATGCAGCAGGTGCCTGTGTCAGTGTGCAGTGAGAGTTGCCCCCCAGGAAAACGCAAAGCCCTGCAGAAAGGGAAACCTGTTTGCTGTTATGACTGCATACCGTGTGCAGACGGAGAAATCAGCAACATCACAGGTTTGATTTAGAAAAACATACATTTTGCATGTTAAAGTACAAAAAATTACCAAAAGATCTAATCACCTTCATTGTCTTTTTCCAAAACAGACTCTATGGAGTGCCTCAAATGTCCCATTGATTATTGGCCAAATACCAGAGGAGACACATGCATCTTGAAGGAAGTTGAATTTCTGTCCTATGCAGAGATCATGGGGATCATTTTAACATTCTTTTGTTTGATGGGAGCAGTTTTGACAACCATGATAGCATTAGTGTTCTTCCACTTCCGGGAAACTCCTATTGTCAGGGCCAACAACTCTGAGCTGAGCTTCCTGCTGCTCTTCTCCTTGACCTTGTGTTTCCTGTGTTCTCTGACCTTCATCGGCCGGCCCTCTGAGTGGTCCTGCATGCTGCGACACACTGCGTTCGGCATCACCTTTGTCCTCTGTATCTCTTGTATTCTTGGGAAAACTATAGTGGTGTTGATGGCTTTCAGAGCTACACTTCCAGGCAGTAATATGATGAAGTGGTTTGGGCCTGCACAGCAGAGACTCAGCGTTCTGGCTTTCACTCTCATACAGGTTTTAATTTGTATACTTTGGCTGACTATCAATCCTCCATTCCCCTTCAAAAATATGAGCCACTATAAGGAGAAGATTATACTTGAGTGTGCTTTAGGCTCAGCTGTAGGCTTCTGGGCTGTGTTGGGATACATAGGGCTCTTAGCTATGTTATGTTTTGTGTTCGCTTTTCTGGCTCGAAAGCTGCCTGACAATTTCAATGAAGCTAAATTTATCACCTTCAGCATGTTGATATTCTGTGCAGTCTGGATCACCTTTATCCCAGCATATGTCAGCTCTCCTGGGAAGTTCACTGTGGCTGTGGAGATATTTGCTATTCTGGCCTCCAGCTATGGAACGCTGTTTTGTATTTTTTTGCCCAAATGTTATGTTATTTTACTGAGACCAGAACGAAATACCAAAAAGCATGTAATGAGCAAAACAAAAGAGATTCAATATTAACTTTACATTTATATGATTCCTTTCCCTTTAAATGTTCCCTATTTTTTGTATTAGTTATTAAATACCCTGTGTCTATTAAAGTTCTGAAGTGATGTTTTGTTTCCATTATGTCAAGGATCCTACCACTCTGAAATACTATAATACCCCATATTAAAAATGTTGTATATTATATGTATTCAATAATAAATGTTTGATCTCAATTTGCATTGCATATTTATTTGAGAATTCCTGGACTGTTTCTATCCTTATTAAATCAGTTTGTCAGGAAAATAAAGTTTTCTGTATCTTTTGACTGTCTTACTTTGGCTAATTTCTGCCGCCATACCTCTTAGCATTTGTTCTATCTTCCATTAGCTACTTCTGATATGATGATGCACCATGCCACAAAGTAAAAGTCATTTCAAACTGGCTTCATGACCATGACAATGACTTCAGTGAACTTGGCCTCCCCATTCACCAGATTTGAATCCAGTACAAACACCTTTGGGATGCGGTAGAATGGGAGATTGGCGACGTGAATGTGCGGCTGACCAATCTGCAGAAACGATGTGATGCAGTCATGTCAACATGGCACAGAATCTCTAAGGAAAGTTTCAAACAAGCTGTGAAATCAATTCAGTGAAGAACTGAGGCTGTTTTGGAAGCAAAGGGAGGCCAACGTGTTCACAGAGGGTATATGCCTGGTGATTACTGTATTTTTGACATATACTACATGACTTACATGACAGTAAAATACATGATTTCTTTCAAAGTTATTCAATACTTATATGCACTGAACAGTTATACACACGCACTCACTATTTAGTGCTGGTTTACGGAATCAGCTGTACAAACCTAAAGGCCTTAATAAGCCATGTAAACAGTAATAATTGATAATCATTTGGAAACGGGGCTCATGGGTATTCTTGTCAGATTTATTCTGCATGCTTGACATCCTTCAGGTCTTACACAAACAAAAAAATTTGCATGGACCTCTGAGAATGGCCCACTAAGTTGCCTCCTACACCTGGGAAGTATAAAACACATCCTTCCAAGAAACGTGACCGTGCCAAAGGCGAAGCTCTGAGATGACAACAGTCACATTTGTCTTCTTAACACTGTTCACTTGGATGGTGTCCTCTGGCTCATGGCTCAGCCGGGACCAGTGTACTGAGCTCAGTCAGTATGGGCATGATGCAGAGACTAAGGGCTTCAGCTCAAATGCATCATATAAAAATGCTATTATTCATGACAAAACAAAACTGACACTGACACGTGAAAGGTGAGTGAATTGTTTGTAAATTATGGTGTTTTCCCTTTTCCCTATTTCCTCCACTTGAATGTTGCTCATTAACTTGCCTTTTTTTTGTCAAGGATACCCCCAGTGTGGTTTACCACAGATTCAGCAGCAATTAGCTTGTAATTTAATGATTTCCTCAGCAGGGACCCTGCCTGAATTACATGGGGGCCTAAACACCATATTGATAGACCCCTCAAAAGACAATTAGACGATCTCTTGAGGAGCTTTTATGAGGCCATTGCAATTTGAAGTCATCTTACTGTAATTATAGGCAAAATATCAGTCGCACCGCTGGGTTCTTATACTTTTCATGTTGCATTGTTAGATTTGAAGACGTTGTTTTACCAGCATTTCACATTGAAATGTCAGTTTAGCTTATGTACAGCTTATAATGGTGAGCAGTTGGGAAAAACTACATTGTGTGACAATAATCCGGTGTTATGAATATGTCATAGTTTGCTTAATAATGTAATCATGCACTGGTATTTGTAACTTTTTTTCTGTCCTGTTTAGATCTTATGAAATGCATGTAGCCTCAGAGAGGATTTTCATGCAGGATAGGATCAGAGACTGTATTCTCTTTCCTTGTGTGCCTTTGAACTTAATGTTCTTTAATGGTTGTGTGGACCCTTTTGAAAGCATGAAGGAGACTGTGAATGGAGAGGAGCAAAACAAGCATGTCTGCAAATGTAAAATTCAGCAGTTGCTGGTGCATTTCTGCTTCAAGACCAGCTGTAGGCCTAATCTACTTACAACACAGGTGAGCAGTAGTCATAGTCACCATGCATGTGAAACTGAATCTGAATCAAGTGCAGTGCACTCAGCAATTTTTGCCTTTTTTGTGTGGAAAATGTATTTCTGTTAATGCCAATTTATTATGAAATGTATTAATGAGTTCATGTGTTTGTCGGTAAATTTCTTCATACAGATGAAGACTGGTAATCACAGCACATATTTGAACTACAGAAGTATCTGTCCTTCATCTGTTCTCCTGAAATCTGCAGCACACTGCTCTCACGTCATTGTTCTAGTGGACCGCTGGGAAACAATGGATTGTATCTGCATCTGTAAGATACACAACCTTAAGGTTGAACTTCTGCAAGGTGTTTTGTACAGAGAAGTTGATCCTGCATTTCCAGAATCCCTTATCTTCATACTGTCTGAGAGCCAAGTGAGTCTGATGTCCTTTGAAGAGCCAAGAGAAGCTTACATTAGGCGCACAATGCACTATGGATAAAATCTTCACTGTATTAAATACTTTGACATAATTATATTAATATATTATGATGTAGTACATCTGTTGGAAATTCACTTGAGAACCCCTTTACAGATAAAACAACAAGGTAGGAATGTCTATTTGGCTAATGCTAATTTTTATATCATCAGATGCCATCAAAGTACTATGCAAAACAGCGTCCAAGAGAAGCATTTCCAACACAAGCAGGTAACATAAAAAAGCAACACAGATGTGTCCTTCAGTACAAAAAGAGCGTACTTAAACTTTTTTTTCCTGCTGATGGCATCAAATTCACTGTCTACACAGGCGGGGTGGAGAGTGTGCAGCCTGACACCAGAAGATGGGCTGGAAGATTTTTTCTGGCAGCGGTGCTACTGCTTGGAATCTACATGACGAGAATAAAAATATCACAGCACAACGTAAGACCTGCTCATGACAGTAACTCCACGATGGTGATGTTGTTTACCCTGACATTGCAATGCTTTTCACCATTACTCACCGTGCACCAGACCTCTGATTGGTCCCACATTGCTGTCGGGATCTCTTGTGTGGTCTACCTCTCTTGTGCTCTGGGTAGAACTGTACATGTGTTACTTGCCTGCAGGGCTGCTCATACTGTCATGAAGCTGTTTCATCCGACATATCAGCAATTTAGGGTTCTGCCTTTTACCGTGTTGTTTCTCTGGCTGACTTTCAGTCCTCCTTTACCAAATAAGAACGCGAAACACTGGTTTGAAGACATACTTGTTGAGGGTAGTGTGGGATCATCACTAAGATCTTGGGCTGTGTTAGGGCACATAGATCTACTGGCTGCTTTGTACTTTCTGTTTGTCTCACTTCCTGCTTTGCTACAATCCATCCTGACTAAAGTAAATGTTTTGAGCGTCCTCTTACATGTGCAAATGGTAACTTCACTGCAGAATTCAAGGGTACCAACAAAGTATGTACTGGTTATCAAGATCAACAGGTTAATTTAAAGTTACCTTTCAAGCATCTTTCTTTACCATCAAAGCTGTCATACCATATGCATATTTGAATATGAAGTGAAAAAATGTTGATTGAAAAAAAATCTAAAATGTAATCCGTCAATGTCACCCCCACCCCCCTTTTTTTTGTTCCTTGTGATATTAAACATCTAAGCTCCCTGCTTTAATAACCCATTTTCTTTAAATTTCTTTAGAAGTCCTTATCAAATATAACAGTTGTATGCAAGTAAATACATAAAAGACAAATGAAATAGGAAACAGAAATATAAATGTGTACCAGTCCCATTAACATCCTCAGCGGCTGAGGTGATGGTACTCTTTATGAATAATTTATTAATTTTTTCTGACACAAAATAGCAGGCACTGATTGAAGTTCATGACAGTTTGATACAGGATGTAATAAGCATCTGTAGCTATGTTTTCATCAGCTCTGCTACATGTTTACACATATTATGCCTGCAAAGAACACTTGTACAAAGTTCTTTATAAGATTATTAAAATTTTTGTTAAATAAATGTCTCCTGTGTGTTCATTTAGGGTCATCTCTTATCATGGTGTGGTAATGTAAAACTTGACAGTAAGCACGCTGTGGGTGACTACATTAAAATATGTGAAAGTGAAATTTCAAATTCAATTCAAATGTTTGGAAATTCATATAGAATTCTTATATCCCACTAAAACGTTAAATCAATGTACACCAGACCCAATTAAACTATGTAAATAAATAAAAAAGAAGATAGTCACTTCTAGGCTCCCCTATAATGCTGAGAATTAACTTTTTATCATGCAAAGGAAAGCTGTTCCACAGTGCTTCTTTGTTCGACATTATGGTTGCAGGAAATTAGATTTGTGACAACTTTGTTTGTTACAAATGTTTAAAAGCCTTATTAAAACTATTTAGTACTATATGATTGTTTTTTTTTCTGTGATTAATTACAATCCCTTAATAAAATGATCTTTTACAAGTTGTAAATTTGAACTTTAATGATTAAGTTTAAAAAACTGATTCAGATTGAATGTGTAGATCAATTCTGTTTTATTCTCTATGACATCAAACAATGAGTAAGTGTCTGCATAGATGAGTTGATGTGTCTTTCAGTTGCATTACACCTTACAATGCATTCTCTCTTGTAGCTTAAATATTTATAAGTGATTGAAGTTAAACAATTGAATTTTCTGTTCTGTTTATGTGCATTAATTAAATCAGCCCCCTTTAATTAGGACAAACATGGGACCAATTAATTAAGTGTAAAGCAGTTGCTGCTGTTATATCTCTGTGTTTGACACACTAGCTGCATGATGATAAAAGTGAACCATATTTAAATTAGAGCACTTACAAATTAGAAATTATAATGAAGAGGAGGAAAATGAATGGAATAGATAAAAAATGAGAAATAAAAGCCTTGGCCTTAGATTAGGCAAATTTTTAAATTGTTTTTTCAACCATTTTAAAATTTAAATAATAGAAAATGAATAATTAATTATAACACTTAATTAT